CAATGTGAGGTTGGAAGTGGCACTTGCTCTCGTCACCTAATATAAAGAGGCTCTGAGATTGCACCATAAACTTCCTGGTCCTACAGAATTTCAGCCCTGTTTGTTTTTTTATTCTTTTATTTTATTTTATTTTATTTTATTTATTTATTTAAGATGGAGTCTCACTCTGTTGCCCAGGCTGGAGTGTGCCGTGGTGCGATCTTGGCTCACTGCAAACTCCGCCTCCTGGTTTCAAGCAATCTTCCCACTTCAGCCTCCCGAGTAGTTAGGATTACAGGCGTGCACCATCACATCTGGTTAATTTTTTCTGTATTTTTAGTAGAGAATGGGTTTCACCATGTTGGCCAGGCTGGTCTTGATCTCCTGACCTCAAGTGATCCACCCGCCTCAGCCTCCCAAAGTGGTGCTAGGATTACAGGCGTGAGCCACTGCACCCAGCCCCTGTTTTGTTTTGTTTTTTAATTCATCCCTCAAGGCAATTAATTACATGGCAAAGCTTTGTCCAATCTGCACTCTCACTGTGATGCCCAGGTTGAAGAAAGCAGGGAACTACCATAGTGACTGAGAAGAGTTTCCATGACAGAAGTGAGGCCTTTTAAAATTTGTGGAACATGTTCATGCCTCCTTTTAAAATAAAATTCCATGAGATAGGTAGGGCAGATAGTAGCCCATACATTTTACAGATTGGGAATTTAAGATACTGAGTGCCTAGTTCCAGGTTTTGTTTAGGGGCAAACGGCAGAGTCAAGGCCAGAATTGTCACTCTCAGCTTAAGTTCTGACTTTTTGGTTGGTGTTGGTTGGAACTCAGAGCCTAGCATGGGATTTTTAATTATATAAAATAAAGACTGTGAAGCTACCTTCTGTTTTACATCCAGATCCTTTCCTGAGTCTCTCTGTTTTGGGTTGGTTCATAATTGAGCTTCCTTGATATTGAGCCATTTGGGAATTGGGAATGACATAAGCCACTCATCTTATTACTGTTGGTCTCTCACCAGGTCCACATTTTAGAGATATCTAGGTCCCTGAGAGAATCCCAAATATTATTTCAGTTCTCCAGTAGCTCATGAAGCCGTAAATATTTCACCTCACCCAGGAGAATCAAAGCATTTTCACATTGGTTCTTATTGGGGAGTTGAGATATGGGTAAGTAATAGGAGTCCCATTCCTGCTTTGCCTGGGGTTTGGGTCTCCAATTTCACTGTCAGTGTCTCTTTAAATCTATACAGTGGGACAGTGGCTACACCAGACATTACTCAGCTCCCACCCCTGACTCAAGATTTTCCACTAGCTGCCCCTTCCCCTAAAAACAGAGTGATGTTATAATGGTATCAGAATGGCACCTGCTGATAACAACACAGAGATTACAAGAGCAGACTTTCTGCAGTGCCTCCTGAGCAATTGGTTGTCATTGTCCTAAACAGAACAGCTAGGTTAAAAAGATTTATCCATAATGTAACCTCCTGGACCTCAGCTATGGGTGGAAGCAACACTTTCTGGTTTGACCTCCTAATACCACAAACTCCACTTTGCCAGAAAAGTGACTTCTTAATGAATAGTCTGTTCAGACCGGCCAATTTGGAGTGTATTCATATTTCGCCACCTGCTGGTAAGACTGATCATCCCCTGGTCCAACTGTAGCTTTGAGCATCTGCGCCCCTGTTGCCCCCCTCCACCAGGAAAGCCAAAATGGTCTCACTGAAGAAGGGGAGGGGAGAGCCTGGAACTGAACACTCACAGGGAATTATGAGTGATGGAATGTGGATTGCTGACACCATGTCCCTTTCCTCTTGCTTGTTGTAGGAGCGTCAACGACCAAGAGGAGACCAGATGAGTTTTCAAAGCAGTCCTCACACACCCAGGACACACCTCATCCTTTGCCTCGTGCTTTCTGCAATGTTGCTGTTCATGTTCATCTTCCTATTAACATTTGCCATAATAACCCCTTATTGACCACCATTATTCCTCCATCCACCACCCACTCAGCTCCTTCTCTGAGGTGCCCTCTAATGGGCAGTGACTTTGGTCTCTATTTGGCAAATTATGTCCAGGTGGTTAACATTAATTTCTCTTTCTCCTATTTCTCCCTCATGCTAGACTTAGTCCAACACTCAGCCCCCTGTCAGGAAAACCATAGTAAATCCTACTTTCTGCCATAATGAAGTTACAAGACACTTTTCCAGAGCAGTCACACTCAATGAAGGGACCCAGAGTATATCTGAGTGTGATGTAATTGAAACCACATGGAAAGACTAGAAATACCTTGCCCCCAGTCAGATACAGTGAAAGAGCTTACTCAAGACTGGACTAAGATTTAGAATGTAGTGGAGCTAGGGAGGAGAAAGAGAAAGATCTTCAGAAGTGGATTGTCTCTGAATACAGGATGAAATCATCTAGATTTTTTTCTCCAATTAAATTTGCATTTCATTCAACCACATTGCAATGGCTTCATACTGGGCATTTTCATTTGAGACCCAGGCTTTTCTTCATGGGTCCTGAGCCACAGGTTCCTGGATGGTGAGGTAAGTGGCATTTGCCTGCACTGTCTAAGGTGATTTGTAGTGCTTTGATAAACCCTGTGCTGATGAGTCAGATCCACCCTGTTACGCCCTAAGATTTGTCCTCTATTGGTCCCTCTTTACCCAAATGCTCTTCAGGGATCCCAGCCCAGATGTAGATGTTAGTCCAGCCTCACAATGTTAATTTAGACCTCTATAAAACCAAAACAGATCCTGAGGATTGATCAAACCAGAATTTGTTGACGTCGTAGTAATCTCTTTCTCAAAGACAATCACTACTACAAAAAGTGTAGCTCTCTGAAAACCCACCATATGTAGAAGGTGTATTTTCTCCCCTCCCCTTTTCTTTCTACTTTTATAGGTAAGCTAGCACTGATGGAAGATACCAGGTTTTCAAATGTGAGCTGAAGGTCTCTCTTCTCATGACAAGATTCAGATCCAATTCATTATTTAACTAATAACCTTTCCAATAAGTATAAAAAATCTTGCCTATCCAGCAGATATGTTAGTCCATTATTTCTCTATGTCTCACAGCCTATACTTATTGGACTAGGAATTAAAGAAATACAATCCCCATTCTTTACTCTTGGCCTACCAGATACAGTGATCCAAGCTTAGTAGATGAGCAGCTAATTGCAAGGCTGCTTTAATAGTGAATGAATAAAAAGTTCTGCTAATTCAGACCTACCCAATACCCATGAATTTGTGATTGAGCTATCTCTCGACCTGCTGAATTCAGGAAAATAAACAACTGTCCTTCAACCACAAGGTTAAGGCCGAACGCATGCAGGTATCTCTAAGCATGCTTCAGATTGTTCTTTTTTCTCTGTGGCCATGCTTTCCAACCCCTGACACCTTTCTATTTAGCCTCTGCTAAGCTCAAGTGTACTGGAATCCTGATACCTGCCCCAGCCTCAGCCCCCTATCATGTGCTTGCTTTGGCTCCCCTGTCTTTGCTGAGATCCTCACCATGAAACCAACTCTAGATATCCCTGAGTGACTCTCTAGGTTCTCATTCTCCCAAATGTGCCTTTTATCACCAAGGCATGGGAAAATCTATCATCTGGTTCTCCAAGGTGTCCAGCAGTTAGAATGGCTGAGAGAACAAGGGCATTTGAGTTTGCCCATGGATAATGGGGTTGTGCGAAAAGCAGATGTTGTCTCAACTGTTCTGAAGTTGAACAATGTAACTACTTTCAGGTGAATAGACTGTTGAGACTATTTTGAGTTGTTGATGGCAACCAAAAAAAAGTGGGGGAAGGGGTGGAATTCCAGCCACTTTCCTCCAGCAACCAGTGGTCCTTAAAACTTTCACCCTCAAATCTCCAAATATGCTGGCTTCTAAGAAGTGCTTCCCAAGACCGAATATACCTCTTGATCAGGGTAAGTGATGAAAATGTGTATTTAACAGGGGGAGGGGATCTTAAAATAGCCTGAATTATGCATGCTGTGGCCTATCTACCGCCACTGGGATAATGGCTCAGCCTATAAAGTTTCCAGAATCAGAAAAATGATCAGAGATGCTAGTTTCTAAAGGAGCGTTGGAGGACTAGGATAACTAGCTAACTCAAGGTGCATGTAGACTTTCTGCTGTTCTTACTTTAGGACAGCTTTCTTGGAAGACTAGACCAGGGAGTTCCTAATTCTTCCCTAGCACCATCTCAGGGGCATCCTCGGTGTGGGTGGAAACATGCTTGGATGCAGCAGCCTGAATGAATCTCAAGTTCACTGCATGTCCACCACAAACTGGTTGGTTTCAGACAAATTCCTTGAGTTTTGGATGGGACTGAACCAGCTAGGGCTTTCCTTGAAATAGGATGGAGGGGTCTCTTCTCAGAGACAGATAGTGTTGTTCAGGGGGCATCTATTGGCTAACAGGCTCCTTAGGAGGAATAGATCAGTCTCGTTATTCAGAAAATGTCTGAGAAAGTCCCAGACACCTCCAACTCCACATGATGGGGAATAGACCTGGAATATTAAAGACCAGAGATTGGAATAGAGGCAACATGATGGAGTGGTGTGGTATGAATGTTGGAGCCATACAGATATGAATTTGATCTGATCCTTAGTTTTGTAATTTCAAGCTCTAAGACTTTTGGAAAAGCAGCTTAAACGTTATGGTCTCTATTTCCTTAGCTTTCAAATGGGAAAAGTAACAACTGTTTTGGGAGTGATTCCTATGCTCAACAAGCCTAAGGGGTAGGTACCATTATCATAATGACACACAGAGAATTGCCTTAAGGATTAAATAAACCTTCTTATGTAAAAGTGTCCGGCACAGTGTCTGGCATATAGTTGAAGCTGAAAAACTATTGGTTTCTTCTCTCTCCTCTTTTCCTTAGGCCAAAATAGTTCTGCTCCCTGATGAAGACACCTTTAGGAAAAGAGGAATCCCTTTCCTAGACTTCCTCCCTGAGGGACTTCCCTTGGTTGATATCCTGGGAACTGCACTGTTTTTCCTTCTCCAAATCCAGTACCTTACCCAACTGGCATTTTTCGTGGTGCTTGGGGAGGAGACAGTCGATGCAGGCAGGATGTTTCTGGGCTTCGCTCACCCTGAAAGAGAGGAGACTCAGTTCTTTTCAAGGGCTTCGTGACAAGCAGCCTACTCCCACAAGCCCTCTGGGGGAGCATTAGGGGGAACGAGTCCTCTTCATGCTTGGGGTGCCCTGTAATGAGTTGGCAATGCAGAGGCGGTTTTCACCTTGGACAGGTTCCACATCAGTCTATTCATTCGCAGGGTCTTTAGCTTGACTGCTCAGACAGGAATTGGGCACCACAGCCCTTAGCACAGGATGATAAGACAGCTCAGGAAGCCAAGGTCACCAGCTCCAGCCCAGACATCCTCCAAAGGACCTGACTGAGGAGTAGGGGAAATGGAGATGCTAGCTATGGAGGTCTAACTTTCTGCAGATGTTTCTGCGGAGCTTCCAAGCCGCTCTCGCTCTGTCTTGATTACTGGATCGAGACAGAAACAAGGCAGAGAGGCGCCCTCTTCTGGGAGGGAGGAGCAGAGACATTGAATCCACCAGGAAGCCGGCGTTACACTAGCATAATTTTGGCTGCTGCCCTTAAAGTTCTGATGTGTATTTCTTCCATTTCCAACACTACCTTATTTGTTAGGACTAGATTCTGGGTTTGCTTAAAAGCTGTTAGTGATTTTAAATGAATCTGTCTTGATCTCAACATCAGACGCAATAACACTCAGCTACTATATACAGCATAGAAAGCAGGTTACATTCTAAAGTGCCCTGCTCTGTGTAGTTTAGGTAGTCCATACAGAAACCATGTGACTTCTGTGAATGTGCCCACACACATGAATTTATGCTTACACATACCTAATCTCATATCTAAAAACATACCTACTCTGTGCCTTTAAAAACATGTTTAGCCTGACATTTTCATTAATCCAAGGAGACTTTATTGAAATACTGCCAGTGTCTCCTGTCCGTCTGGCCACATTTGATGACCCCATGTGATAAGTCATCTTCAGTGCAAGAACCAGGGCCGCCTCTCTCTCATTGATATTTCTCCTGACTGCACACCTCCCCACTGCAGCAACGTTCTCACATGCATACATGCATGCAATAGTGAGCTAAAAATAAACAGCTGCTGATGGGCTGCCAGAGGGTGTCCTCCGTACACAGCAGATGTCCTCTGTCTCCCTTTAGTAGGCACAGCTCAAGCCACAGACAGGAATTGAGGGTACTGGACGGGATAAGCTTTACCTCAAATCTCTCAGGCAAGTTACAAAGAGTAGGAGAGCTTGAAAAGGGAGATGACAGCTGAGGCCCATGATCATTCTCTCCCAGGCCTTGTGCCCCAAATCCAAGGGATAACCTCTGGAAAAGTGTTTACTGGCATCAAAGGAAACCATTGCAGGGAAGGTTGATAATTAGGGTTAAGAAACAAGATCAGCCATTCCTCCAGCCATGATTGTAAATAGCTCTCTGCTTTTGGTTTCCCCCCTTTCAGGGCAGAAGTTATTCAAGTGGATCTAGAATATGTGTGCATTTAAGGAGGATGATTTGTGTGCATGTGGTTTTCTTCACATCTTCTAATCTGTAAGAATTCTCCCTACCTCCATCACTCATCAATCAAGAAACCCTTTGTCATGCTGAGGTGTGGCATTTCTTCTGCTGAAAACCTCAGATTCAGACACACCCCACACACCCTGAGACACACACATCCACACACACATGCACACCCTTCCTCACCCTTGGGAAGCAAGCTCCATTCAAATTGGTTTAAAAATAGCACTAATCCATTGAGTTCATTTTTCAGGGACGTTATTTTAAGTAGAAAAAAAGATATCCTGGTCGTTGAGAGGGAGAAAGGGTAAACGTCATCTCGCCTTAAAAAGTCCTGATAATGTCGCTGGAGAGTAAGCATTTGCAGTCTTTGTTGAATTTTCTCCTCCACCTACCATTCAACAAAAGTTGTTTATTCCCGAATACCGTGCCATCTGGGTATTTATAGAGGTGAGTTTCCTCTTCGGGTGGAGAGCAGAAGGGAAAGCGCAGTAGCAAGCCGGACACTCCCCTCTGGGCACTCCCCACCGCCAGAACTGACGCCTTCGAGGGCGGTGGATTTGTGAATCAGCTCCCCCTTCCCCCACACAGGGGAGCCCCTAAATGGCTGCTGGCCATTTGCAAAGGGTTGTGTGCATGTGTGTATTTAATTGCAGGCTTATTTGTTTCTGCTCTGGGAGTCTGTCCGTCTCTCTGTAACTTGGATCATTGCTCTCTGGGAAGCTGTATAGCTGGCTGATTCCGTGGGAGACCAGGCAGGATGCGTGGGCGCAGGAAACAGAAGAGGGAAAAGGAGGGAGAAAAAGAGAGCAGGAGAGAGAGAGCGGGAGCCTTAGAATCTGTTATTTGCGTCACTTGAAGAGCCGGGGCTATCTGCCCGACAAACACACAGAATTAATCCGAGTTATAGCTATAGCTGTCTATGCTACAGTGACCAGACGAGAAAGGGCGGGGAAAGGACGCGCGCCGGAGTCTGTGCACGGTCGAGTTTGCATTGGGCGTCTTGGGAGGGTTTGGGGAGGGGGCTGTCCTGCTGGGCACGCCCCTCGGGGCCCCGCTTGCCCGGTGCAGACTAGGCTGCAGCCTGCTCTGCAGCTGCCCAGCCCAAGCCTGGGGTGGCGCCCGCCTCGGCCGCCTCGCCTGCTCAGTGGCTGCGCCGAACACAAAGCGCTGTCTCCGAGCAGAAGCGTCTTCTCAGCTGAACCAGACCCACCAAAGAGGAGAATCTGCACGTGACGTCAGTAGCTGATGACTGACGCAGGCTGGCAAAGGAGACTCAAGGCGGCTGCTCCGCGCTGCCTTCATGAGTCTATTTTCTCCAGCCCCCTCGTAGTGAATTACTAGAACGCAAAACACACACACAGACACACATATGCAGCTTTCAAAATATACATTTCCAAAGGCGGTGTGTTGCAAACACAACGCGATTTTGCAAAGCGTGGGTGGGAAACGTGGGAAGGGTATGGATGTTTTTTTTTTTTTCTCATCTGGGAATCTCCATCGTGGATAGCAATAGCTTCTAGAGCTCTCCTGGGAAGCTCCTCTGGGGAAGGGGCTATGGCCCCCACCCCCTACTTTCCTCAGCATGTAGGGAATCTGATCAATGGAGACATGCAGCTCTAAGAATACAACCACTCCGACGCCTTCTGCTCGGGGAGACTGCGAGGAGCTTGCAACAGGCAGAGACAGATGGGAGTTAACGGGAGGGAGGGAGAATATAAGAAATATTTGGGCATTTTTCTGATTTGAAAAACATTTTCTGCAGTTATGCAAGTGAGTCTGGTGGTGCAGGGAAAAAAAGTGAGGAGGGGGCGCTTAATGCATATTTAATGTTTTGGACGTAAGGTTCCAGCGAAATGCCTTTGTGTGTGGAGGTTTTTTCAGTACTTGCTAAAAATAGCATCAGGGTTTGATCTTGTTCCAGAAATAAACCGAGGGCTGTACTGGGATAAAAAGCCAGCGCGGGTGGAAGAAAACCTGGACATCACCGCATTCCTCCCCCCACAACTATGTCTGGAAATTAATTGTTGGATTTTTCCTCTCCTCTCTCCTCTTTCCATCCACTTTCTCTTTTCTCCCCCTGTGTTTCTCTTTCTCTCTCTTAAGGAGTTCCCGTTTGGGTAAGTAATATTATGTCATGTGCATGCCGCAGACTGTGAGTATGAGCTGACGCTTACTTTGTGCATGCTCCGGGGTTCTTTTTTGGCTGCCTTTTTCGCCCCTTCTAAAGAGGATAGTGGGACTGAGTAGGGGGTAAGGGGTGTAGCTGTGTGCGTGTGTATGTGTATAATGAGTTTGGGGCTGCATGCAAAGAAACCAAGAGAGGGAATTCTTGCAGAGCCGGGAATCACCCTCACGAATCTCTGAATCAATAGCGGCTGCAACTCTCTCTCTCGTTATGGGTCGGCGCTGTTGAGCTTGGTTTTCTCGATGGCCCCCTCCCCTCCCCATTTTCTCTGTCTTAAAGGGTGGCCAGACACGACTTAATGGGCCATATCTCTGAGAGATTAATGGAGACTGTGCAACATAGATCAAAATTGCATGGATGGGGTTGGGTAAAGACAGGGAAAAATCTCTACTCCTTTGACAAACCTCCCCGCTGGCTCCGGTCCGGGAACTGAGGACCGCGACCCTAGTTCGGGCTGGCCCAGGACTCGGTTGCTGTCCACGGAAGATAGGTGCTGAAAATGCCTTGGTCCTCCGCGAGTTCAGTTCCGAGCGCCAGGGGGCGGGGTTGGCGCCAGCTGCGGGTAGCCCCGCCCTGAATGCAGGAGAGGGACACGGGGACGAGGGGGTTAAGGATGTTCAAAGGGGATAGTCGTGACTTCGGTGAGAGCTTTGGGGGAAAGGAGGGGTGAGTGGGAAGGAAAGGAAAAAAATTTAAAGGAGGGGGAGCGAAGTGTTAGATTCGAGGATGAGTCTAGGCCGGGCGTTTCAGGAATGGAAGGCCAATGGCTCACCGGCTTTCCCTGCAGAGGCCAGGCACTATCCGGGTCTCCATTCCCAGGATACCGCACCTTCCCGCCAGTGGGTTTGAAAGATTTCTCCTCGGTGATGGTGACTCTCAAAATAACAGGCTAATAGGTTGCTTTTTTCGGACCCTCGTCCCCTCCCACTTCATGCCCCCCGTATCCCCGTATTCTGTAATTCCCGGGAGGTGTGTAAGGTAGTGTGGTGTGACATTTTTCTTATTATTCCCCCTTTTCGCATGCTAGTCATAGAAGCCCCAAGTGAGTTGGTGGAATGAGTGAATTAGAAGCCAAAGCATAGGAGTTGTTGGTGCGATGCGCAGAGAATCCAAGCTAGGGAACATCGCGGGGCGCCTTAAAGCCAAAAGCCAAAGGAGTCTAAATCAGCCTGAAGGGAAATTGGGGAGGAGGTGTTCTCTAAGTTGCCAAATGTTATTGGGAATACCATCAACTCTCTGGGGTTGTGGGCTGGACCCAGACTGAGATTCACTGCAATCAGCTCCAGACACTTTGGCCGAATCTGTGGCCAGACAGGTGAGGAGGGAGGAAGGTTAGCAGAGGCAGAGGGGGAATGAATATCACGCGCACACAAAGACATTCATGCTGATTAACTCCAGGAGAGGGAGAATAAAAGTACATCCTCAAGCTGGCCCATGAGGATGGGCTGTAGACAGTGGGAGAAATGAAGCACTCTTGCAGGTCTGCAGTAAGCTTTGTGTGCATGCAGGAATATTTTATATGTTTATTTAAAAATATAAACTTGGGACGGTGAGGTAAGTATTTGTGGTGGCTAGCCTTCAGGAGAGAGGAGACCAGGTCTCTCTGCTTCATTCACCCCTTCCCCTCTGTCAACAGCCTCTGGCTTTAGTGACCTGACCTCCACACAGGGTAACCGGGGTGCAGCCTGGGCCGGGGGATGAGAGGGTGGGTGAGTTATGTTTAGCTCAGAAACCGTCCCTCTCTCGGAAGATTCCCTGGCTGAGACTGAGTATTCAACTCATAATAGTAACAAGGGCTGTTACCGATGTGCAGAATAACACAAATAACGCTGCAACCCACACTTTGTCTTGACAATTCAGTTCAAACCAAAGCTGCTCACAGCCTCTCGGCCCACCCCTCGGCCTCCTCGTCATTCACGGGGACCTACTCCTTCCCTTTCCCAAGCCTCGCCCCTCTCAGCCCTGCAAGTTTGCGTGGTTGTGTTTACAAATTCTGCCACAATTGCAAAGGAAATAGGGGTTGGGGGAGCGGTCGGGGCGGGAGTGGTGGTAGCGCAATAAAACACTTGCAACACGTGGAGCGGTGGTTGGGGGGAGGTGTCCAAGAGTCAAGAACGGGGCGGAGGGACACCCCATGTCCTCATTTCCCCCCCCCCGTTCTTCCCCACCCCTTCCCATTGCTTGGCACAATGCACAAGTTTACCCCCCGAACTGGATCCTATTAAATAATTCAATGGTAGCGGTGTAATTTTGGTTGGAACCAGCACGGATTCCCAAGTCGTGACTGCAAAAAGTGAGTAATGCGCGCTGGCTGCGTCATGGCTCTAGTCACAGTTCATTCCGAACTGAGAAGGAATCGTGACTTCGCCTGGAGACGTCCCCTACATGGGAGATGGGGGGCGGGGGGGCCACCAAATCAGTGGGGACGGGGGTGGGGGGAAGACCTATCCAATGAAAACCGCTGCCAGGGGGGCATTTGAACTCCGCCGCTTGCTGTCTCGCTGTCCCCTCTCTGCCCCGCGCACCTCGCTCCCCCCTCCCGGCCGGCGCTCGCAGTGGCGCGCCTGCTCGCTCTCCCGCTACCCGACGAGTCCTCAACAAGTTGGAGGAAGGCAGGAACGCAGGGGTTAAGCTCGGAAAGCCGCAATTACCAAGATCGTGACCCTCCCACACAGTACAGTAACTTATATACTTACCTGGAAGAGCCCGCTTTGCCGCCGGGCAAACACCCGTGGGGGGCGGGGAGGGGCCGGAGGGAGCTGGCCGGCAGGAGAGGTGCTCCTTCCAGCTGGCTGCAGTGCGGACGGGACCGGCGCGCTCCCGTGGCCCCCAGACCGAGGTAAGGAGCAGGGGGTCGGCGCCCGGGTCGGCTGGTGGTCGGTCGGCTCACTGGTAGTCTGAGCAGAACTTTTTTTTCCCAGTTGCCCCGCGCCGCGGCGGCGGCCGGCGCAGACCGCGGAGCCCCCTCCGGCGCGGCGGGCGCGCAGACGCTCGGAGGGTGTGTGCTTGCGTCTGTCCGTCGCGGAGCCTAGGGGATGCCGTGGGAGGGTGAGTGGGTCGCGGAGCTGCAGGAGGGTGATGGTTGGGCGAAGGGGGTGGGTCGACAGGGACTTGAAGACAGTGCCTCCACCGTCTAGAGATGTTTTCTCCGGGCGTGCTGGGCAAGGGTGGGAGTGTGTGTGTGCGCGCGCGCGCCCGCCCGCACGTCGATTCCAGGGTGCCAAAGAACAAATATGGCAACTTTCCCCCCAAGTTCTTGCAATGTTTGCAGTAACCCATCCTGGTGAGGTTTCCCCCACTGGGGGACTGTACTGCTAGGGAGGGAGATAGTCAGGACGTCCCTTAGCCCACACCCTGCTTAGGTACTAATGGGGGGAGGGGCAGGAGAGGACGTGGGAAGGGTGGCGCTGCACTGCGAAGAAGGGCAGCCCCTCAAAGTTTGGATGGATGGGATGGGGGAGGGGACCGAGCGGGATGGAGGAAGAGGGAGGGAGGGAGAGTGAGGGAAGGAGATCTTTCTCCCTTTTCTCTAGTCTTCCCTCCCCTCCTTTCCTCCTCTCGCAGAAGGTGGAATCTCCCGTCGTTTTGGGGTCCGGCAGTCAATGACGGGTTCGCCCCTTGTTGTTCCCCCTAGCATTCTGCAGAATGGGTAGAAAGTTGGTGGGGAGGGGAGGGCTGCAGCTTTGAAAGGGCACCTGAGGCGAATGGGCCATTAGACACCCCATCTTGAGACGGTTTTGGGGGAGGATGCGGAGGGAGGAGCTTCACCTTTCTAGCTGAGCATTCAGAACTTTGGGTGGGGAAGGGGGTGTTGAGACATTCTCATTTTTTCTAGAAATAGGCTGACTAGTGTGGAGTTTGGGTTTATTTTATGTTCATCTTTGTCATTTTTCGTCTGGATCTTCTGGCTTGGGTCCCGTTGGGAGAGGTCGCTCTCTTAAACCTCTCTTTCCCAATACATCGCGCTACCCCCTCACCTGGGCTGGAATGGGGAGGGGGTCCTGAACCGCTTTTTTGTTTTTTGGCAACAACCATATTTTAACATGTTCCAATCTAGCTTTTGTTGAATAATTAGAAATGGAAATATTTTTTTCTCCCTCCCCCTTCTGAAAAAAAAGGGGGAAATGTGAGCTCTCTTCTGATTGGTGGGTGACGATTTTAGCCCGCACCAATGAGCTGGCGGCCTCGTCTGTATTTATTTAGTGCTCTGGGGGAGTTTTTCTCTTTACGCAGCGCCTGTAGTCACGGCTGGAACCTTGGCTGGGGGACTAGGAGGGATAAGAGGGGATTCGGGGGGAATCCGAACTGTACCTGTTCAGAGATCGGCGACCTTGCAGCCGTGGCTGGCGGAACTCTGATAGGGGGATAGAGGGATAGGACAGGCAGGCGGGGAGGCTCCGGGTACTGTGGCGACAGGAAAGGGGTGGAGGCTGGGCTCCGGGATCCCGGGTGCCCCTCCGCCGTCCCCTTCTCGCCCTCCACACACTTCTCTCGGGGCTGAGTTGGGGGATCGCGGACGGTCTGGAGAAATGGAGACACGAGTCCAGGGGTGCGGTGGGGCGGGCGGCGCGCGGAGTGGTGAGGCTGAGCCGCGATGGAGCGCGCTGGTGAGACCCAGCCTGTTCGGCTCCGGGGTTCGGAGACATCCTGGGCTGAAGGCGGCGGCGGCGGCGGCGAACCGAAGAAGCCGGCGTATTCTGCCCTTCGTGAATCTTTTTGCGGTCTGGGCTTGCTGTACATAACTCAATAGCCGGAAGCCCTTACCCCAAAAAGCATTCGCGGAGGGCGCACTCGTCGAGAAGACGGCAGCCATCCAGCGATCGCCGAAGCCCGCACCTTCCCGAAGCTGCTCCATCCGAGCCTTACCCGGCCCTTTCCCCGTTTTCCACGGAAGATTCGGCCCTTTCCTCCCTGTCCTTTTGCGTTCCCGGAGGTTTTGGTCACCTGTCTTTCCTCCGAGCGAGTCCCCCGCCCCCAACTTTTTAACAGACTTTGTATCACAGGGGGAACTGGAGCAGGTGGGGTGCGTGTGTTTTCGGAGAAGTGAGAAGAAGCTAAAATGCAATAAAAGTTTACAGAAGTTGTGTCTTCCCCCCAGCCCCCGCCCACACCACGAATAACCCTTCACTCAATGCAAAAAAAAAAAAAAAAAAAAAAAAAAAAAAAGATCGGAGCGTAGGGCCAAGTCAGAACCTGGAATATGAATCAGTTTAGAACATTTTGTGGTCGTTTTTGACCCTAATGATCCGATTCTGCAATATGGGGGTCGGGAAGCCCTTCAGGGAGGGACTAGAGGCCCTTAGTATCTTCTGTCCTGGTGCGGGGGACCCGGAGGTGAGGCGAGCCGCCGTGAATTGGGAAGCTCCGAAAAAGAGGGAAAACACACAGGCACCGCCCGATCCCCGGAGTCTCTTCCTCCCGCGCCTACTTCCAACCTAATTTGGGGCGTTTTGCAGCCTCGGGTCTCTCCCTTTCCTCTTTTTCAAAACTAAGTAGCACGGAAGGGGGTAAAACAGGCGAGAACTGGGGAAGCCCCCGCAGAGAAGGAGCTTTGGAGAGATGCGGTTGTGCCCGACTCAGACGCTTAGCAGGAGCAGAAAAGCAGCAGCAGCAGCAGTAGACCCATCCCGGCCTCTCCAGGAGCCGGTCCTGGGGAGGGGGACAAAGCTGCAGGAGGGAAGAGTCTATGAGTCCCCCTCCTCCCCCTCCACTCGTTGCAGTCCTGACCACTTCGGTCGCAAGTGGCACAAATCAGGCCTTCACTACATTCTGCTCCCCGCGTCCTTAGCCTGCTAGGAACACTGCTAGACGCCCTTGCCCTTAGGGACTGGGCCAGAAGGACACACATACACACATGAGTGCCCACAGGGACGGAAACGGGTAGAAGACGGGTCTAGAGACACCAGAGTTCAAGACCCGAGGGCTGCAAACCTTCACGTTTTCGGGGAGGGCCTGAATTTCCCCCGTATCGCAACCACCGTTCTTCCAACAAACTAAACGCCCACCGTCATTACCCTGTCCGCTGGTTAAACACCCGGACTCTACCCTCTCCAGAATTAGGAAGGGCTGCAGAGTCCGAGAGTGCTGGACAGAGTCAATCTTTTGTAGCTAAGACTCTGAGAAGGCACAGAAGGCGAGCACTCCAAACTCTAAGGCTAAATCAGAGCTTTCCTCCCCAGATAAAGGAAATTTTCCCTCCCTGAATGCGTTTCCTAAAAGAGTAAAAAGGTTCCTAAGATCTGCAAAGGAGATGGAGGAAAAAGCAAAAGCTCCGGGGATTTTCCTCCCTGCCTCTCACCTGGGGCCGTCTGTGGAGCGATAGCTTTGCGGAGGGAGAGGCATAAGAACCACGTTAGATTAAAAATAGCTTCACCCTGTGTCCCTTCAGCTCCTCTTTTGTCTTTTGCTTCTTACATACCCCTCCTCTTCCCAGCCAGAAAGCCCTCTTCTCTCCCAAAGCCTGAACCTTCACCAGATTTGGGAGAGAGGTGGCCCAAGAGAAGTGAACTTGCACAGAAGAGGTTGAGCCACCGCAGCGCAGGCGGCTCAGGGTTATTGCGACCCTAGCCCCCTCACTTCTCCCTCCGAGGCTAAGTGTGAGTTTAGGGCTCCAGGGCCCAAGGAGCAATGGCCGAACCCGGCGTCGTGCGGCACCGGAGCGAGTCCTCGCCTCGCCTCGCCTCAGCCAGACAACTGTTGCTGCCTTGGAGAAGCTCCTGCTGCTGCAGCTGCTGCTTGGGGCGGCTGCACGCCTGGGGCTGAGGCTGCTGACTTTTGATCGGGGCTGCGAGCTTGCGGAAAGGGGTCTCTCATTCTGGGTGGGATCAAAGGAAGGGACCCCTTCCCCCTTCCCTTCACAATAAGTGAAAATAGGTGGCTTTTTGTGGCTTTTGGTGTCTTTCCTTCCCTCCTTTGGGCGGTTATGTCAGTCCGAGCCCAGTGGGAGCTGAGCTCTCCCTCTCTACCCATTTTGTCTTTGCTAAGGAAGGAGGGCAAAGTGGGGGGGGGTTGCCTTTATGAGCCCTCAAACTGCCGATGCACATCCCACTTTATAAAGCTACCTCGCCTTTTGAGCCAGGGGCCTGATGGAAACTTCCAGGCACTTGCATGTGATGCCAACCTCTGGAGGCCCTATAGGAGAGGGAGCAGCACCTCGGGACCCCTCCTCACCCCAGGCTACTCCTTCCGGGGGTGTGAGAAGTGTTCGGGAGGCAGCTGGGGAAACTTCGTCCCCTGGGCCCAGCCAACAAGCTTAACCTTTGCCTGTGGTAAAAATCAAGACCAGGGGTTATCTCTGGAGCTATGGAAGGGTTTCAGGGGCCACAGAGTCCCCTCAAGGTCACCTGCCCCCAGTGGGGAGAGGCAGGTGGCTGGGCCAGGCAAGGCAGTTTCACAGGTGGTCTTTCTCAGGCCCATTCTGACCACACCCCAGGTGATCTGCTCTCCTGCCTCTTCTCCGCTCCTGGAGTCTGGAGCCAGATTTCCTCCCTTTGTCGGCCCTCTTGTCTCTTCTATCCTCTTTCCCGGACCTGTGGTTGCTTTCAGTCCTTCTGCCTTGCCTGTCTCACGTTGGAGGCAAAGGCAGAAGCGTGGGTCGATTCAGATGTGCTGGGAAGGCTTGCTATGATCTCAGACCAGGGCCGTCTTCTCTGTCCTGGGGACTTTTCAAACTGGAAGGCTTTGTGGGCATCTTTGAAAGACTGCTCTTGCATCAGCAACCATGCCTTGGTAGCTATTAGATGTGCCCCCTACCCTTTTCCTTTCCTTCAGCCTTCCCACTCCTTGATTTCCTGTGAAATGACCCAGCCACCAATCACTCCCATCTCCTTCTGAGCCAGCAGAGTAACCCTGCCCATCTTTTGACCTTTTCAGGTGGTCAGACCTGTCCTGACACCCAGAGGTCTGCATGAGGGAAGGCCACTGAAGGAGGAGTTCTGAAAGGCCACAGGTGATGAAGAGCTTGGATGAATGAACTTAGAAGTCCCAGGTGAGTACCAAGATGTCAGCGCATGGTTTCTTCGCCTGAGCAGACCCAAGGGGCCTCCACACATACTTCCCACTTGATGATGAGATACAGGGAAGCCACAGATCCAGTGCTTGGAGACTGTCCTCAAAGGCTTAGTCCTTGGCAAAGGAAGGCACCCATCACAGAGGTTACATGAAAGGGCACAGTACCTACCGCATGAGGCATAGGACTGCATAGGACTTCCTGTCCTATCCTCTAAACAGGACTTGGGCCTGTGTGTTTAGAAGCTTCCAAACCCCCAGTACTGAGGGGTGTAGGCCCTATTCAAGGGGCCCACTGTTCCTTCTTCACCTCCACTTCCTGGACCATCTCGGGCCTCTCAGGGGCCCAGGGGATGGGCAGAGTTGAAGGGTCATTTGCCATGCCAAGTTTCTCTGAGGATACCAAACGTTGTTACGTCTCCTTAACTGGAGTTCAGCCTAGGATGCATGGGAGAAGTTTTAGGCTCTGGATATTTTTTTTGAAGGGTAAGGCATTAAAATCTAAATGCATTTACTTTTCCTATTAACCAGCAAAATTTCTTGCTATAGAGCTTTTGTTTAACTGCCTTTCTGAGCTTCAAAGTCATACTGTGATTCTTATTGGGGATTTCAGTTCAGAGCTTGGCAGAGAATTTTGAAACCCCAGGGCTGTTAGATTTGTGAGGAAAGGAGAAACCAAGCTACCTGCCTAATCCTTGGAGGTCATGTGAGCCAAATGTGGGAAGCTGCCAGAAATTTTTAGAGGGAAACTCGAGGCTATGGCAGAATAGAAGCACATTACATGGAAGATCTTCAGATCATTATACAATAGATCTATTTTCTATATTAATTAAATGTCTGCTACACGGATTGTTGGAAATTTTTACACTTTAAAAGTAGAACTTAAATAACAAGTAAATTGACTGGAATCGTCTATACTTCCCAGCATGTAAAGTGTGGATGAGGCCATCAAATTGTTAAATGAGCCTAACTTCTTTTAAGTTCCCCTTTTGAATATGAGGACCTGAAGTTTGCAGCATCTGTCTTTGGGCAATAGTTGTTAATTCCAAGAGTTTCACGTCTTCCTTCTCCCTCCTTAACTGATAGTTCAATTGCACTGGGAGGAAATCTAAGAAAATAATATGATGGGGGGTGATTTTCTTGCCTGAAAGGTAATCTCTTCTAAATTACGTTTGAAAAAATCCATGGATAGACTAAACCTCAAATTTAGATAGAATATGTAGCATGCCAAAGCTGGAAAGAACTGTAGAGTATATTCAGAGAGAGACTAATCTCTTCATTTTATAAATCAAACAGGTTCAGAGAGGTTAAGTGATTTTACCAAGGTCACACAGCTGGGGCTCAACCCCAGGTTGTTTATTGTGTTCTCTGGGTATTTTTTTTCCCACTAAGCATTTCCTATTACTACCAAATCATATAGATAATCCGTAAACATAATCCAGGACAACAGAACAGATTCCCTTTGAAAATGACTGGCATTTAGAATGCCAGGGTTCAAAAAAGAGTTTAAAGAAAGTTTCTTCTGCTTGCAATTAGCATTCTGGGGGCATCATTAGAAGGTTAGGTATGGCTGTCATCTCTTGTCTCTGACATGGCCTAGACCTCAGAGCATCCATGTTGCCTTGGTCTGCTGAGGAAGGCATCAGCACAAGAAAGTTGCTGTGTCATAGAATCCCAGTATTGGTCTTTTTCAAAACATTTGCTAGCATGAAGCAGCTCCGTAAGGCATGGGTCCCTGTCTCTTATTTCTCTCCTCTGGGTGGCAGTTGATTCTCATCCTTCTTGTCTTGTGGGGTTTGACTGAGAGCTGTTAAGAAGGTAGTTTGACCCAGGATCTCCTTTATAAGCAAGAAGGCCCTCATAAGGAGGTTTCAAATGAAGTGAAGATCTGTTTGATCCTTGTCCCCAAGATACTTTTTTAGAATGCTGCAGATCACCTGCTTGTAGGACAGCTGCTTGGCCTGGTCAGTTTTAAGCTCATGATTTACTGCCAAACCCTGGATTGAACTCCACTATTTCAGCTTTACATATTTCTACCAATATCAGCCACTTCAAGCCCATATTAATCATGTCTTCAGAACATGAGAATAGTAGTCATGGTGTGTGTGCTATCACAAATAAATTATTCTGGTGGCCTTTTTCACAGTCTCTCCCTGCTGTTTGCTCCCCCTACCTCCCCGCGCTTTCTGACAACTTCTAACTAGGAAATAAGATTCATTTCTCTGCTTAAAAAGCAACAGACTGGGAGGAAGAAAAATGAGATGGGGTGAAAGATACAAATAGGTTAAAAAGCAAAACAAGGCTGACAAGCAGTGGAAAGAATTAAAAGAGCAAATTCTATCCAGTCCTAACTACTCACGTTTATGAACTTAAAGAAGCAATTTTATCCTCTCTAGGCCTCAATATCTCCATCTATAAAATTAGGTGCTTTGGGGGTCAGACCCCTTCCATTCATGCATTAATTCAACAAATGTTGAATGTTTATTCAACAAATGTTTATTGAGCTTCTGTACTACGTATCGGGTCTTATTCTAGACATTGGAGATATAAATAAATTATTCTTCCTTTGATAATCTGTTGAAAGCTATGGACCTTGTCCCCAGCAAAAAGGAAAAAAAAAACAAAAAAACAAAAACCAGACATTTTATAAACAATTTCAGGGAGCTCAGGACATCCCTAGGTTCCATGGACCCCAAGTTAAAGTTTTTTTCATCAAGTGTCTAAGGCCTACATTTTACAATATGAAGGTTTGAGTTTAGGTTACATAGTCAAATCTTGGTTTTTAGTTGTTCTTTTTTTTCCCCCCCAGTAGTACTTTGTTGCATTTTTATTGTGATTTTGGCCTTCCATTTTTGGAGAATAAATATTTGGAACTTAGTTAATACTGCAAGTGGCTAGAATAAATGCTGAACAGCAGCTCGTAACTGAGAGGCAAGGCAGACGTGGAGCTGAGGACAGAAACAGATGAGAAGTTTTGATGACTAATCTCAGCCTGGTCCTGCGGAATTTCAAAGAGGTAATCCATCTTTTAGGCTAAGTATTCTTGGTAAAGTTGATGGTTCCATGGAGGGAACGGAGGTTTATGTTGGAGCTGGACAGTATAAGATCACAGTGCCAGGGCTCATGGCAAAGATGGATTTCCTCTGGTGCTTTTGACTACCAGGCACAATCATAGCTGGACAGGTCAGGGATTCATTGAGAAGGAAAGACCCGTCCACTTCTGGCCCTGTTGGGTTGGTAGACTGGCTGCTTCCACGTAGTGCAGCAAGGGGCTCTATAGCAGGCAGTTCTGTTGAGATCTTCAGTGAAGGAGAAATTGGGAGGCTGAAAGGCTCAAAACAGACATAGATAGGTCTGTGTGCAAAGGTTTCACCTTAGTTCCCACTCTTTCTGAGCATTTTTCTTCCCTGCTTTCAGCATCCTCAGAATTCTTACTTGCATTGAGGAAGACCAGAACTTTTTCATTTAGGGCAAGGGGCATTTACTGACTTTAGGACTGATCAGCTACTAACACAAACTGGACTTTAGGTGGGGAGTTAGATGCTCTTATTCAGCACTCCCAGGTAAACAGCCAGTGGAAGTCACTGCTAGGAGAGGACCCTAGAAGTGAAGTGATCCATCTTTGAAAGAGCCAGATAGGAATCTGAACTTGTAAAATCTTTGTGTTAGGTTGTGGGAGGACAGGATGAAGTGTGGGAAGAAAGCAACAAGTTGCTGCTGCTGAGGCTAAAGTACAGGAAAATCCATCAAAATATAAACTTTTCATCTTCTCAATTTCCTCATTTGTAAAATGGGGATAATGATAACGCCCTTCACCGTAAGGCTTTGGTGAGGATTAAATGAGATTATACATGTGTAAAGAGCCTAGTCAGTGTTCAACAAATGTTAGCTATTATTATTATTATGGTGTTTTCTTTCCTGTCTGACAAACATAGCAATGTCATACAAGGCTTAAATCATAGCATCAGCAGCTATAGGACCAGAGCTATTCCTAGAGTGACAGATAAAAGATAATCTTTTCTGGAAGCATCTGTCCATTTGCTCCATAGCCTGCCAGTGCCCAGGATTACCCGCTGGGAGCAAATCAGAAGGGTTGATAGAAAAATCTTTTTCTCTACTTTATGTGTCCCTACATGAAGATTATCTCTTTCTTGTTTCATTCTCCTTTTAATTCCTTGCTTTCACGTTCCTTTTAAAATCAATTGAATTTAATTACAATTGTTTTTGCAAATCACTCTTTTTGCCTTTATTTATAATAATAATAATTATTATTATTATTTTGATTGGGGAGAAAAAGCGATTCACCTAGGATACTTTTATTTTCAGCATATATCTAGTCCTAAATTTTCAATGTTTAGGAAATTTCCGACAAGGAAAGAAAAAAGGAAAAATAGAAGGGCAAGAATATGTAACAATATTCACTGTCATAAATGTTTTCTCTTTCCTTTTCCTGCATATTTAATCTTCATTCTTTCCTTCTTCTGACTTTACTTTTAGCATCTTATAAATCTTTTTGTCTCCTCTTAAAACACCCCCTGCCTCAAAATCTTTGTTCTCCTCCTTTTGATCCACTGAACTTGTCCTATCAGGCATTTATTTTTAAGTCTTGGCTGCAAACTGCAGGGCTGATTATAGGAAGAATGTGATATGGTCCCTACATTTTCTGGGTAATGCTAGGAGAAAACACCAGGGCCACCATTTGTCCCCTGAACCTGTTGAACACATCTGAGGCCATTCCAAAGAGAAGCAAAAACTATTTTTGTTTTTGTTTATTATCTCTTTATTTTATTCAGTTTTCATAGAAATTGGAGCCTTCCTCATGGACCTTTCTACATTTCCACTTTCCCACATTTAAACCCACAGCCTATGCATTGCTTCCACTTGGTGACTTTTCCTTTTTTCTGTCTTTTAAAAAAAAATTCTAATAAAAGGTTCAGGGATACATCAAACATGGCCTAGATAGTGGTCTTGCTATCTCTC